ATCTTGGGTCCGTGAGTTCTACTCCTCCTTGTGGATTGACCCAAGACATAGGTTTATTCATTTTGCTTTCCGAGGGCGTGACTACAGGCTCCAGAGCTCGAGGGTCAGAGAGATATTGAGGATTACAGAGTCATCTATTCGTCTTCACTAGGCATGCTATGGACAGACAAAGCCTCCAAGATGCCCTCACGGCGGACTTGTGCCACCTATAGATCTTGTCAGACCTTGCTTCATAGAGCCATTTGGTGAGAGATCGAGCAGGACACCACATGACCTTACACCTATAGCTTTGGCTATTATGAGGAGGACTCTGCTTCCGAGGATGGGCTATCGCGAGGGCCTGACTCGAATTCAGCTATGGCTAGTGCATTGGCTGGTGTCTCAGACTGTCTTTGATATTTGGGATGTGATGCTTTTAGATATGGAGGACACACTAGCAGAGGGCTTCAGAGGTCACCGTTAGCTGCCTTATGCTCATTGGATCACTTTCTTACTCGAAAGGCAATTCCACACAAGTCCCTAGAGACAATGGCAGAGTGGGTAGGTGCAACTACTGAGTTTTCACAGTACGACATGAGCCAGATGCTATGTCACAGTCGTGCGAGGACACCTCGCCAGCCGGGTCGTCGCCCAGAGGTACCAGAGACAGTAGCTCAGTAGGATGAGATCATTAGGGGCATCACAGAGATAGAGGAGGAGCTTGATGCACAGCAGGAAGATGAGGTCGACAGCGACCCGAGTGACAGCTCAGACGATGGTTATCAGTCGATTCCGTATATGGCTCCTCGACCACACGATAGAGAGGCATGTGGCTCCAACTCAGCTCCACCACAGTCGCCACAGACTGACCCAGCACTTCTACTTGTACTTCGAGCGGATGAGATAGGACCAGGCACGCTAGGCACAAGAGACTGCAGCTGCACTTGCTCAGGTTCAGGCATGACAGGATGAGTTTCAGCGACAGCAGCAAGCCATGTAGCAGCAGCAGCTTATGATTCAGCAGTAGTTACTCGGCTTCATGCAGCATGTATTCACTGCTATTGGGGTTGATCCTCAGCAGTCTACATTTTAGATAGGCAGCCTGCCACCACCACTCCAGTGACTCTAGCTGTATAGCCTAGTGGGCTTCCGAGTCAGAGACAGTCAACTCCTCAGTTTGCCTAACCTACAGAGTAGGTGTCTCAATGGTTTGCTTCACCAGGGATAGCTTAGGGTCCACACTTTACCCCTATTGTTATGGGGTTCACTCCAACTCAAACTTCTTCGACGTTAGTGATGGACACTCCAGTCTCCAGGAGTCTCGGCGCTACCTTCTGTGAGCTTATAGGGCAGCCTACACCTCTAGTGTTCTGAGTCTCTGTCCCTACCACAGCTGCTCTAGTTACCAGGACTACCGAGATGATTCCGTCGTCTATTGCATCATCTGAGCTACCTCAGACAGTCACTCCTACACTTGAGGCTTCAGCGACAGCGACAACGGTAGATGTGGCTCTCCTTCCTATAGTGACACCTACAGAGTTACAGGCCGCGCCTGTTACTGACCAGACCTAGACTGCTTCGCCTTCACTTCTAGCTATAGAGGGTTAGACCCCTCAGAGTTCAGGGTCAGAGGATGATGCAGCTCAGTTCCAGGTCTCTCATCGCACCTCAGCGCCTGACTTGACTGCTCCTGTCCCGCCATCCGACTTTTAGGTTTTGGTGCTTGACGCCAAAGGAGGAGAGGGACCGAGTATGTTAGATTTAGGGGGAGCGTGTGAGATAGACTTGATTCTTTTGGTCTTTCATGTGTGATACTTCGTGCATTCACGTTTACTTTGATATGTGTGCTCTCTACATTGTTTTATATAAGTCATGTCACTTGGTTATGCTCATTGGTTTTGCTTCCGTGTTTTACTCCGATTCAAATGCGCTTTACTTCATGTACTCATACTTAATTAATATCTTTTGAGTACACCATATTGGCTTGGGTCATATAAGCATGCCTAATCCTTTTGTTCTTATTGTCAAAAGCTTATATAAACCAACCATGTTGAAAACCTCACTCATCTCTTTTACATACTCGAGGTTGTGTTGTCATCAATCACCAAAAAGGGGGAGACTAAAAGTATATAGGCCCCCAGTTGGGTTTCGGTGATTAATGACGACACGAGATTACTATGACTAACGTGTGTTTTGCAGAGGTAATTTGAGTTATGTCATGGTAATGGAAATTGATTGGACAATCATGGTTGTCATGCCTTTGTCGATGGAAATCATTTCGGTTTTTCAAAGGATGGATAACAAGGTTAAGGACGGACTAGTTCTAAGTATCGTTTGGTGTTGGAAAGACACTTAGAGTAGTATAGAACCTTATTTTTTCCTTTTGCTGTACTATTAAGGGGGGTATGGACTAGTAGCTTAACAAAGATGAGTCTAATGAATTAGGTGTGATGCACACTTATCAAACTTAGCACTAGGTAGCTCAGGAATAGCCCTAAGATCGATAGAAGTCAACTTCATTCATAAAGAATTTCGAATTGGAAGTAAATAGAGAGTCAAATGACTGACTGGACGCTAGTTTGGTTGTGACCGGACGTAGCTTGGAGAGTCCGGCAGTTCATTTGATCGACAGCAGCAGTCAGAGTGCGACCAGACGCTGGATAGCGGTGCTCATCGGACGCGGCGATAGCCGTATCTGTAGCAGCGTGGATAGGCTGCTGACCACGGACCAGATGCTGAACAGAGAAATGACCGGACTCTAGGTGTCAGCGTTCGGTCAACATCAGTAAGGTTACAGAGAGGGTTTTTGATGACCTGACGCGTTCGGTGGGTGCTGACCGAACGCAGGCCAGAGTCCGGTCAGAGCAAACTGCTCTTTCTGACATGCTGACGTATTACACTGACCGGTGCGTCCGGTCACCTTGACCGGAGCGTCCGATTATCCCGATACTTGCTGAGTTAGACCTCAACCGTTATGTTTTGAATGGAGGGGTATAAATATATATCCCACTCGTCTATTTGAGGTCTCTTGTCTATTTGTTCAGCTAAGAAACATCTTTGGAGTGCAAGGAGAGCAAGAGCCTAGTGGGGTAATTGAGATTTGATAATCTAAGATTAAGGACCTCATTAGTGCATATGGAGTAGCAAATGTGCATCCACCTTACTCATTAGGCTTGTCTTGGTCAAGTGAGAGTTTGTGCTTGTTATTCTTAGTGATCGCCATCACCTAGACCGCTCGGTGGTGATTAGAAGCTTGGTGATCATCCGACAGAGCTTGTGGATGATCCAAGTCATTTTGTGAGCGATTGTGGGCAATTCATCACGACAGAGTGTCAAAGAATCAGTCCGTAGAGAGCACTTGATTCTTGCGCGGATCAAGGGGGAGCTACACCCTTGCGCGGGTGCTCTAACGAGAACTAGTGGAGAGTGACGACTCTCCAATACCTCGAGAAAACATTACCGTATTCCTTTCCCTCTCTTTATTTTGAGCATTTATATTTGAAAAATTCATTTCATGTCTTTACATTTCTAGAATTACCATGCTAGAGTATGATTCGAACCTAGGGTGTAAAACTTTTGTACGGGAGAACAATAAAAACACATTCTAGACACAAGTGGTGAAATGGGCTAAGTGTAGGGCTTAATTATTGTAAAAATTTAGAATTAGCCCAATTCACCTTCTCTTGGGCATCTTGATCTTTTCATTTAACAAACACCGGCATTTCTCTACGTATAGAGGCTTAGGTCCACTCGTCAAATAATAAATAATAATCAATCAGATCCGTTAGATGTAAAATCCAAGGGTGGAAAAACTTAGGTGGGTAGAAGTATTCTAGGTGAGAGGTATATTTATCAATTCCTTTGTTATTTTATTTATAATATAAATATAGATATATAAATTGACTTCTCAAAAGTCAAAAATTTCTTTGATATTCCTCCGTTAGAAAGGAACTTTTTTATATACATGTCTGTCGCACGTGTGTCTACTAATACTAGAATAAAATGCGTTAATTTTTAAGTGAGATGACAAGCTACGTGTAGAAAAAAGAACCTGAGTGTGCCAAATATTAAACATGGTGAACTCTAGCTTATGATAAGGCCACAGGCTATCGAGGAGCTAATTTTATGTCTTTTTACCTATCCATCATAGGATTTATCCGTTGCCACCCCAACCAATAATTGAGTTTTTTTGCCATCTACAACAAAAATTTATAGCAATCCTAGCATATGTAAGGAAGCCTATAAGTTGGATAGAGAAAGAAACAATCAAATATATGTAAGAATAAATTATCAAAAAATAATTGCATATATATAATATTCATTCGCTTTTGCTAAAGTAGAGACCGCTATACTGCTAGACTAGGGATGAAAACAGATAGATATGGACGGATATCACTAATATTATATTTGTTTTTATATTTTCGTCTGGATTTAGATTTGAATACTGACGAAGGCTTAACCATGCCGGATAGGATCGATTGGATGAATACGATTGGAATATAAGACTCGGATAAATATGTGATTTAAGTATTAAACGGATATGAATACGGTAGAAAATATTGAATATTAAGACCCGAGATATAGTACAGTCTAATCTGAAATTCCTCTAGCCAAATGCAGCCGGCAGCACAAATGACGTTTTGCGGAAAATATCTTTACAATTTTCACCCTGCTGCTAGTACAGTCTAATACTGAGATTACTTTAGCCAAAACTGCAGCCGGCAGCACACCCAATGACGTTTTGCGGCTAGATCCCCCTAATTTTCCTCAAGAGTCCGCCGGTCTAGAAACAACCTTGCATCGCCATTTCAGGAAATGACGCAGGCCTTTTGCCAGTGTGACCGCCATGGAGCGTGCGCTCAGAGAAGAATTAGACCCAAATCGAAAGTCACGAGCTGCGCAACGAAAACCCAAATCGAGTTCCCTTCCCATTTGTCTGTCTCCCTGAGAAGAAGGGGGAAGACAGCTCGTGCTTCGACGAGCGTCAGCCCTAGCGCAGCCCCCCGGCGCCGGCGACGGCGATGAGCCTAGGAGCCGAGGTAATCGAGCTCTCCAGCGACGAAGACGAGGAGCCCGTGCCCAGCACCACCGCCCTCGCCCTCCACGCCCCCTCCTCCCCTCCCGACGTCAAGCCGCACCTGCTCGCCGACGTCGATGTGAAGCCACTGCTGCTCCCGCCGCCGCTCCACCCCCCGGGCTACGGCGCGCTCGTGCCCGTGAAGACCGAGGAGCCCGTGCCCGTGCCCGTGCCCGTGGCCACCCTCACGCCGCCGCCCAGAGCGCTCCCGCCGCCGCGCCTCTGCCGCCAGTTCTGGAAGTCCGGCGACTACGTCGTCGCGCGCCGCAACCCCGACGCGGACGTCCCCGGTAGGCTATCGGTCGGAGAAATCTCGGCCCCGATTTCTGCTCTCTTAGCTTTCTTTTGATTCTCTCGGTGGGGCTGGTGATCAGGCTGAGTGAGATTTGCGATTTGGTGGTGCGTGCAGGTGGGCGGAACCGGTTGCGGATAAACCCCAAGTTCCTGCACTCGAACGCGACCTCCCATAAGTGGGCCTTTGGTGGTATGGGACGATCCCCTCATTGGCTCGGGTTGTAGGATTGGCATTTAGCTACATTACTACACCAAGCAATTGGATTTTAGGGATTGTTTTGGCTTCATTAGCATGAATAAGATAATCAACATAATTGTGCCCCTGTCATGTAAACTGTCTCTTTTAAACTGTGATCTGTCTATTGATGTGAACTTGTAGTTTGGAGTATTGTATGTTCCCTTAAGAAAATTGAACTCTCACTTCCGAATGAAATGAAGCACTCACTTCAGTAACACAAAAAAGGACATTAGATGTTCTTCAATAGTGCTAGATGACTAATAAAATGGAAGTTTGTATTTGCCATATAAAACACCCATTTACTTTTAAGATGGTTATGCTTGAAAATTAGGCACCAAGTGATGCACTCCTCTCACATCATTCATAAGTAGAGAGTTAAACCATTGTACGCCTATGAAAAAACATTTAGCTTTTTCACAACCTGGCTTATTATCTTAGTTTCTACAATTTTCAGCTGTATAATTCTTTTTGGATAAATCAGCCATATATAGCATTCTAGTTTGAAACCTGTTGCATGCTTTTATATTTTAATTGCTCCGATTTGCATTACTTGTCACTATATGTACACTGATTTGTTCAATGTTGTTTTCCCTCATTTTCCTGCAGCCATTGCCGAGCTCCTTGACAATGCAATCGATGAGGTAACCATTAAGGATTTTTTTGACATGTACAGAAAGAAACTAAGACATAACATGAAGCTAAGTATGTTTATTTTTATGACATCTTTTCTCTCAGGTGAACAATGGGGCAACATTTGTCCGTGTTAATAAATTTAAAAACCCACGGGATGGGAACCCCTCATTGTTGGTTCAAGGTTGCCATATTTATGATGTTAATCTGTTTGTTTTCATATGAACTGTTATCTGGATTGTAACCTTGTGGTGTTTCACATTGATAAGATGATGGAGGGGGGATGGACCCTGAGGCACTGAGACGTTGCATGAGCTTTGGATTTTCGGATAAACAGTCTGATGCTTTCATTGGGCAATGTATGGTCTTGTCCTTGTAGTTCCTTGTGAATTAGTTGTCTTGAACCCCTGACCATTGAATTTATATTGCTTCTTGGTCAGATGGCAATGGTTTCAAGACTAGTACGATGCGGCTTGGAGCAGATGTGATTGTTTTTACACAAAACCAAAATAACTGGTACTTATCCTTAGCATTCATCCTTGGTACTTTTCTTTTTTGACATCGAATTACAAATAAGCATTCTGTGATGCTACCTTTATCTTTTCTAACATAGGGGCTCTCAGTAAACCTGACTAACATTTATCCTTTTTCAAGAATACATACTAAAGTTCTAAGGAATAGAAGTGAAACAAGGACAGATGTTGGTCGATAGCAGTTTGAAGTGGGCATAAGGGCTTTTGTTTCCATTTTCTCGTTCCTATTTGAGTAGAAATGTTTCGGTTATATCCCTGATTTCTTGTGAAATGATGGCATGTTGTTTTTCAGTTTTTGTGTACCTGGGAACAAGTATCACTAGAATCTAATATGACAGCAATGTGTTCCATACGTTATTTACTGCGTGTTGCTGGTCAGACATGGTCATGCTCGCATGCGGAGTTCCATTAATACTACTACGTTCCTGTTGGTCTGTTATACTATTTAAAATTGGATGACATCGCTTGATTCCTCTTTAGCTCTACTAAAATGTTTCCACCTAGCTCATGTGTCTACTGAAGTAAAAGATTTATGTTTCCTGTAGGGTGCCAACTAGAAGTATCGGCCTTCTTTCTTACACATTTTTGATGGAAACAGGTTGCGATGATGTGCTGGTGCCAACGGTGAGTCTGACACTTTCTTTTCTGTCTGACTGCAATTTTCATTTGAGCTATTTTCTAGTTTCATCTATCATCTTCTAAGTTTTGACCTTGTGTTTGTCTTGCTGTCTTGCAGGTAGACTATCAGTACGATCCAACAACAACTTCATATGTTCAGATGTTGCGTCATGATCAGAAGCTCTTCTCTTCTAATTTGGCAATCCTTCTCAAATGGTCCCCTTTTGCTAGTGAAGCTGAGTTGCTTAAACAAGTATGCAATAGATATGAATTTATCAGATATTTATTGCTAACTTTTGAATGATTCTGATAATCTTGGAAAAGATGAGCTAGAGAAAAGTTATGGAAAATTGGGAGATGTGAAAAATTAACCAGTAGCCCTAAGTAAGGAGATGATTTAAAAATATTACAATACCCAAATAATTTGCCAGTTCTCAAAGTTTTACTTTATTTTTTGGTAGCATTCTGTTACTGTGTTAAGGCCAGTTACATAATTCTTGATACATATTATTATTGGTTATTGGTAACTGAAAACATTTGAATTTTAAGTTTGCAAAAATCATGGCATTATGTGCTTTTGGCAAATACTAATGGATGCATCAATAGGTTCTTTTTTTCTAATTTACCCAAGCAATTTTCCTAGGTCATATAATTCTTTAGGAGACGATTCCCTCGTAGAGTATGTGCCCCCTATAATTTAGTGGGTGTCTATTGTTCAGGGCCAATTTACTATCATAGTTAGGAACTTAATGTTCATGTTCACTTCTGATTCAGTTTGATGATATGGGAGATCATGGAACAAAGATAATTGTATTCAACCTTTGGTTCAATGATGATGGGGATATGGAGCTTGATTTCAACTCTGACAAAAAGGTTAGTAATGTTGGCCTCTGATTTCCTTGGATAAAAGTGCATGGAATCAGCTATCCACATGCCTGAACCATGAACAAGGCTTTAGAGCTCCTAATGATTACTATTGTTGATGCCTTTTTATATAAGTTTCTTCTTTCTATTTTTTTTCTTATCGGTGGAACAATGTTTGGTTTCGTTCTATCATTTGTAGCCTGCCTCAACTTGCATAGGATTAAAAGGCTTTGCTGTTGTTGTGATGTTGGCCTCTGATAGAGCTATAGTGGTTGCTGTGAGATGACTTTTTTTTTTCGGTTGTCTTCTCCATATCTGTTCAAATATATCGTTTGATCGTTTCTTCCAAATTTTTGTTCAACTTTTTTTTTTTGCTCGAACACGCAGGAGAACTGCGTATCTTTGTGTTAATAGGGAGAGTGAAATACAAAAAAAACTCACTTTGTCTCGCTCAGGAGAACAAAGTGGGTTACAACTGAGTTTCAGAGAAGTGTATGGAAAGACAGAACAAAAAAAGGCTTTTAAAACTAGCCCTTCAACCTGACGTAGACCAAGATCCTGGAGTAGGGCTCCAAGCCTCCAACAAATTCCCAAAGTTTCGGGTCCTCCATGAGCACCCTCAAAGACACAAGTTTCTTTGACTCCATAAGGCTCAAGCTTCTAAAATTGCTGTTGAAACCCGTTCTCTGTGAAGCATCAATCTGTTTGGTGGCCTTCCTCCACCAGTCCTCATTCTGTCTAGGAACCACATGACCAAGACCAATAGGAGTTTCCCTCAAAAAAAAAAAGACCAATAGGAGTTAACGCTGAATGCCAAAACTGTCGAGCAAAGACACAAGAAGTATATGTGCTGGACCGTTTCATCTTCCTGATCACACAACACAGTTATCAGGGTGTGGAAGGCCTCTTCTTGCTAATCTATCCGCAGTACCAACATTTATTTTTAATGGCAAGCCAAATGGACACTTTGCATTTAGACGGGGCCCAAGATTTCCAGACTCGCTACCATGGTAATCGAACCATAGAAGAAGGGCTGTAAGCCGATTTGGAAGAAAAGCTCGCTTGCCTCATGTTTCCATAAATGTCGATCCTGATCCATGGATAATTGAACCTACCACCATCAGAGCAAGATCCACCAAGGTCTGGCCATGTAGCCAACGATCAGACGAAAACAGAATCTTTTTCACCATTTCCAACCAGAGAGATTACTAAAATGGCAAATGGCAAATATGGATCTCACATGAGGCTGAATTGGAATGTCCAAACCCATCCAAGGTCGGGTCGCACTGGTTTTCCTCAACCACAACCATCTCATGTGCAAGGTCCAACCCATAATATTTAGATTCAAGATCCCTAGGCCACCGAAATCAATTGGTCTATTTACTTTCTCCCAAGTCCCAAGGCACCAGGCAGTACTCACCATTAACTTTTTTTCTCCCCTTCCATAGGAAAGCTCTCCTAATTCTATATATGGCCTTGATCACCCATTTAGGTACATTCATGGTGACTAACAGATAGATAGGGATAACCGAGGGAACAAATCGAAACATAGTAGTCCTTCTAGCAAGATTAATGAGATTTACCTTCCAACCAGGGAGACTGTCACAATCTTTTCAATCCAGGGTATTTGTAGGAGGAATAGAATTAGTGGAATTGCCGATTGTATTGCTGTGCCTCGTGGTGGATTATGTAGGAGTACATTGCTTAGGGGGCAAGAAACCTCCCTGAGAGATAAGACAAGTTAGGATTGCACGATCCTAATCTACCATACCTAGAGATATTCCAATATACTCTACATTCCCCCGCATAGCGGGAGTGGCGGAGACAGTGATACTAGAGAAAAAGGTTGTAAGCCGCCGAGTTGACATTCCCCCCCCCCACCACCCCCCCCACACACACACAGTCATAACGGTTGATGTGCCATGGATGCTGTGGCTAGAGTGGAAATCGACGAGGGGCTCATTCAAGGTGGTGGTCCTTTGTGCCGATATCAAGGTAGCCAAGCGTGAGGGTAGAGTAGCCGTGGTTGAGGATCTTTGTCTTTGGAGATAGCCGTGGTCAACGTATCGATTGGAGATAGCCGATGTCGAGGCGGTTGCACATGAAGCCGCTTCCCCCGCTTATATATTCATTCATTTATTCTCGCCAATTACCAAATGGCCAAATCGGTGGGGAGGCTTTACTTTGCATGCACAACTTTTGGCAACGCATGCAATGGATGGATCTAGGATGGATGGGGGGCTCATCACATATAATATCCACTACCCCCTATGAATTTTTAGGTTCTATAGTGTGAGGGGGTGAGACTTAGAGCAAGTTCCATCCAAAATATTTCTGGATCAGTTCTCATATATCCAAAAGGTGCAGGAGTTAGAGCAAGTGTCCATCCTTCTTTCTCACTAAAGGTGCTAGCTAGTGTGCTTCCTTCTTTTCTGACAGCAGGAACGGGAGGGTCGATGCAATCAAGCCGTCAATGCCAAGGCGTGTGCCAGGTTTGCTAGACCCGACAACGTGTCGGTGACGAAAGCATGCTATGGTGTTGCCAATGTCGGACATACTAGGGAGAGGGCCCCAACCATTTGTCAGCATCTGAGGGACCAGCAGAGAGGGCCTTGACGACGGTTGTGGAACGGTTACAAGGGTTGGAGAAACTCTCCTCACCGGCCTTGACAAATAACCCATTAAGCACATCCATAACCAATATGAAAGGGTGGTTATTACAAACATAACGCAATACCTTGGCTTCTATGGCCAAGCATAACTCACGTGATAGTGGCTAGTGACAAAATTTATTTTCTTAGGGACTCCCATCTTTTAGTTTTCGGAGAAAGGAAACTACAGAATAACTGTCAGTTTGCTCGAAGAATACATTGGTTTAGAAGGCAACTAAATCTGACTTGAATTAGAAAATTAACTAAAATATAACTTAGCAAAAATGGTGGCGCTTCTCCTTCATATAGGTCGCTGATTTTGCCCCCCCCCCCCCCCCCCCCCCCCACCCACCCACCACACACACACACACACACACCCCAACCCTTGATCGTGTAAGATAGACAAGAGATGTATCTGTGTAGATGTTGGAATGCTCATCGGTATTCCTCAGCCTGATGGAATTGGACCAAAAAGTGTAGAAATCCTGTTGATCTGTTGGAAGTGAGCCATCGAAGTAGAAATCTTTCTCATATCGTGGAGTCATGAAATGGTGATTCTGAGGAACTGGCATGATTCAATGCATGCTTAAGAAGTATTGCGTCAGTTGTGTCTGATATGGTAATATGTGCAGCTCTCATTACATGCTAGCTAATGGAAGTGTCTGTTAATCCTACACCCTATATGTTCTATTCTTTTATTGGTCTTGCCTTACAAATGTTTTTGGGAAGTTGTTATATAACCAGATCAACCATGGCCTGTACATTTGTCACTGAACAGTTGATCTATGCCTACTATCTTAGGATATCCTCATTACTGGGGCCCACAAGAAGGTGAAAACAAATAATCCGGAGAAGATTGCTGCACAGAACTACGTCTCAACTCGGCTTCGCTATTCTCTTAGAGTTAAGTATTGATTCCCATTTAATCATATGGCACTTTTTGTTTCTTTCTTAAGCTAACATTATTATTCGTTTTGGATTCAAACAGGCATATGCATCTATCTTGTATCTTCATGTACCTGACACTTTCAGAATTATCCTGCGCGGACGTGATGTGGAACCACATAATATAGTTAACGATTTGATGTATCGTGAGTGTGTGTTGTATAAACCACAAATTGCTGGACTTACAGAGGTACTTTGTAAATCGCATTTGCAAGCATGTTTGCATTTTTTTTTATCATTTTGATTGCTGGAATAAACCCTTTCATTGACTCAAACTGTTTTCAATTGCTGTCTCATCTGATGAAAGAGAAATGTCTTTCCATTTAGTTATTTAGAATTTAGAATGGCCAATAGGGAAAAGAAATGGGAAAATCTACATGAAACAATATTTCATCTGATAGAAATCTGGTTTCTCTAGTTCCTTGCCCCCAATTTTACCCATGAAGTGCAACATACAACCTTTCTGTGAAATGTAGTCCTGCCAGCCTTGGTGTTTGTTTTGTATCATTTAGTACTTTGCATCGGTGACCTCGTGTATTCAAGAATTGCCAAATGGATCTTGAGGAAGTGCTCTCATAATTACCCCCTCTGTGTTCATTCCTGTCATACATATCTAGTGACATGCTAGTTTTTTCTAACTCATTTTTAGTTGTTAGGCAAATACTAATATTTTTAACCTATTTATACCTGACAACTTACCCTCTGGGTGAGGCTATATCTTTGAAAGTGGAAATTGATATATCCTTGCTGATAGATCAGGCAGCCCTTGAGTGTTTCCTTTGATTTCTACTCCAACAAATATTCTCTGATTCCTTTGACCATGCGGGCGTAGCTTATGTTTTATTTTTTTTATTATACTATCTAATCAAAATTTTGATTTTCTTCTTTTAGAAAATCTCTCTGATTGGCCTCACGTTTTGCAGTCATCTGTAATCACAACCATTGGGTTTGTTAAAGGTGCACCAGACATAGATGTACAAGGGTTTAATGTATATCACAAAAATCGTTTAATATCGGTGAGAGCTCTACTCTGTATGCTACATGGTGCATGATGTTTCAGTTCACTTTTCTTTCCTCTTGCTGTCTGTTGTCAGTTGGGATGTAATTGTTTGAAGCAGAAACATTTGTGTGCTTGTCAAATCTTTATTTAATTTGGAAGCCTTTGTGTTTATGGCAAAATGTTGTTTTAATTTAGAAGAGTAGCATATAGTTCTTCTAAATAGTTATTTCTGAGAAGTAGCATATAGCAGAGTAGCACACATAGAATATTTTCTTCTTTCATTGTAGGCACTTGTACTTTGTGTTCCCCATCAGGTTAGCTAAGCTATCAACTTCTATAAAAATTTTCCTTAGATGCCATTAACTCGATAACCTAGTTTAGGTATGTGTGACATCATTTTCAGAATGACATACTTGGTAAATTTTATATTGCTTTTGCTTAGTGATATCAGTAATATACATTATTTTCCAGAATGTCAAACGTCTGATTTTTTTTTCAGCCCTTCTGGAAAGTTGCAAACAACTCATACGGGAAAGGGCGAGGAGTTGTTGGTAAGAAATATTTGAATGAGTCATCCAAAAAGCAAGATATCAGTTAAAAATGATGTATATTTTCCTTTATCGATCTTTTCAGGCATTCTGGAGGCCAACTTTATCAAACCTACCCATGACAAGCAGGATTTTGAGAAGTCAGTCCTGTATCAAAGGCTTGAGATTCGGTTGAAAGAAATGACTTATGAATACTGGTAAAGCTTTTAGTTGATTGTTCTTTTAGACATCTGCAGTTTTGATGCCAGTTCTGTCATAGTCCCAATCTCTTATAAACCCACAGTCCCACACAGATGCCTGTGCATTTTTTTGCATAGCACAAGGCCAAGTCCATGCACAGTTGCACACTTGAAATAACATGCGAGCACACACATGTGCATGCGCACAATTTGTACTGCAGATTTATGGCTCAGGATTAAGTGCTTTTCATAGTAGTGTTACTTGAGAATTGCAGAGTTCACTATTCAGCATTGTTTGCCTGTAAGCTTTCAAGAGCAAGGTTAGGACCAAGGGGCTGACTTTGTCCTCTGGTATATTAGGATTGACCTGTGTAACTGTCTCACTTTATGCCTTTGTTTTGGCACACCATATGTTAGACATTTCATATTTTCAGTTACAAATGTAAAGAGCACGTCTTAAAAAGTTAACATAGAGAAGGTGCTAAGAGTTTAGTGCTATATGTCTATGTATCTGTTTAGACATTAGATTTCATCACTTGGTTCAATCTGAAATTTGAGTAGACTCTGCAACTTATAAGCTGAATGATACTAATACTTCATTGATACTAACCACCTGTTAGCACCTTATAAATATAGATACTATGAGACTTCTTAGTTATTGATCTGTTAGTTTTTGTTGTGCCATTCTTGTGCTCTTATATTGAGGAATGTCTTAATGTCATAAACAAATTCATGCCTGAACTAATTCTTTGTGCAGGGACCTTCATTGCCATCGTGTTGGTTATGACAACAAAAAATTACCTAAAGCAACCCGTGCTATTAATCGTGCCAATCATATGGGTGGCAGTTCCCCAATAAGTGCTCCACCTCGGTTGCTTGCAGCTGATATTCCAACAAGCAGCTGTGGTATACCTAGATTATCAGCCTCTGCAGCAAGAGAAAAGATCAATAGTCTTGATTCTCTTTCCAAGAGCCGTGAGTAATCCACTCATTATGTTCATTTTATAAAATGCCATTGTGCTTATTAATGTATTGACCCTTAGCAGCGATGGGATTGAAGAGGAAGTTTAATTCCTTCAGTGCTATGGCGGGCAGTGCTGATCAGGATGGGCTAGATCATATGGATAAAGTAGTAAGTATTTACACAACATTGGCAGAGGAAGAATAATGCTCAGTCCATTCATTTTTGTTCGTTGTTTTACCTTGTCATGCTCTTTTATGTTTGTCATTATAGGAATCCCTCAAAAGACAGGGCAACATGTCCATAGCATATTTAGTGTTACTACGCTTGCCAAGACATCATTCTTTTGTTTGTTGGTCACCAAGGGTGGTGTGGAGACAAATAGTTTTATGATAACAGTGTTTGTATAGGGACTGTGTGCTTTTCTTAATTCCTGTGCACAAGTCACCAAAAAAAAGCAGAAGGAATAGCTGATATGTGCAGCCTCAATTCGTTCTGGTCACTATCAGCAAGATTTAACTGGGCATCTAATTCTGTCTGGCGTGTACAGTGTTAGGAGTATATTTGGGAGTTAGGGATACTGTAAACCCGTATTGCCATGTGTATTCGGGAGATGTCTTGCCCCCCATGTCTTGTACTCTATTTACATCACACAAAGGCTCAATGGAATACATCCAATGCATTATACCAAATCCTTCCTGCTTTCATGGTATCATGAGTTTAGGGTTTTGATCCTGAGCCGAGGCTTCTACCGCCATCGTGTCGCCCCGGGGAGATCGATCTCCACCAGGGGGCAATGCCCACTCTGTAGGAAGGTTTGGGCCGCGGATCTAATTGATCTGCTGGCCTAGCGTCGAGCAGCAACAGATCATCGGGTCACCGGCACCGTGGGCATCGATGGGTTGCCGTACTCCTTTTCCTCGTCGATCCTCTGTGCCACCCCATCGAGTCGCTGTTGTCGGCAACTAACTGTTGTTCCCTCCTATCTGCGCCCATCCGCCTCCCCTCCCTCACTAGCATTGCTGCTACTGCTGCCTTTGAGCGCGAGCGCGTGGCTACAGAGGAGGCTCTTGGGGATGTGGGGCGCTACCGTTGGGGGGCGTCAGGTCACCGCACCGTGTTGGCCGGTCATCTCGCCATCGCAAGTGGACGTCGGACCGTCGCGCCACCCCCGGGCTTGTGACCACCATCTTATCTGTTTTTGAAGGCAACCACCATCTGATCTGTTCCTGTGTCTTTTTTTTTTTTTTTCATGATCAAAGAATGGGATTGCATCGCCTGTCTACCGATCCCTCGACGTTTGTTTGTTGAATCTCTCAAGGACTAGGTTGTAGTTACGTGTCTTTTCAGGCAGCAATGACGCTGCTCGTGGTCAAGCCATCTTCAAGGTCGCCACCTATCTAGGTTTGTGCCACCCATACTGCTGGTCCCTGTCACGATCGCTCTGGATCTGAGTCAGAGCCTATTCCTGCCACCTCTGGGACTTCGTCGCTGATGGATAACGCATGAGCGCTTGTTGATACGTCTGAGCAGCCCGATCTACCTTCACCATCCGACCTTCTCTTTGTCCTCCTGCAGTTGTCGGCAGGAAGCTGGTTACTATGCGTACTCGTGTGCCTCTATTGATGCTTTAGACTTGCCTCCCTCCACAGCTTTGACCACGTCGACCTCGACCTCGGCTACTTTGGTGACAAAAGGCGGTATCATCAGCATGAGCTACTTGTTGGTTTCTACTTCAACCTCGACTACTTTGGCTTTATTTTTTCCTAGCCTGACCGTCTGCGATGCTCTGGCTACCACTGCGAGGGTGTGTTAGATTATATTTGGTTGCTAGGGATATTGTAACCCCGTATTGCCATGTGTATCAGGGAGATGTCTTGCTGCCAAGTCTTGTACTCTATTTATATTGCCCGAGGGCCCAATGTAATACATCCAATGCTTTATACCAAATCCTTCCTCACAACAAAAAAAAAGTACCAAATCATTTTGTTTTCTGGTGCCCTCAGGCTATAAATGTGTATTTCAGCATTTCTGTACAATATAGAAGCAAGTTTTTCCGATGATAGATCACAATATGTAATATAAATATTTAAAGGCTTCCTTCTATGACTATTTTTTTGTTCTTTATTGACAATATCAGGATGTTTCTCAACGGAAACGGTTTAATGAATACAAAACTTTGACCCTGGAGAATGACAAGTTGCGTAATGAGTAAGTGCTACCACAACTTTCCTTCCAGCGGTTGTAAAGTCGTTTTCTGAGGGACAAACTATTGAGGTCAAACAATTAAGAGCAGCTTTTTTTTTTCTTGCGTGCAATTCAACTCTTACTGCTAATGTAGCTTATGAGGAATAGGAATGCTTTTGCTGATAAGAGGGTAACCAATCACTTCTTTATGTCTGAAGTGCTGACATGCGGGGCTTCTTTTGGTAAGGTCACCATAATTCGTGAACAAATGAAAATCTCATGTAAGAACGAATTGATGTGGCTTATTCAAAGTAATAATCATGTTATCTTGCCCCAGTTTAGGACTTTAGACATAGTCAGCTGGGTACCTGCTAAATATAACACTTAATCCATTAACTGTAACATGTCATGCACGCCAGCTTTGCCCTTGTGGTGTCCAATTGTCCAATTTTGTTTTGTTTGCATGATTGAATTTCAAAATACTTGCTATTATGTTAATGCTTGGTTTTCAGCAAAACTGTTTGAATAAAATTTGTAGAGCTGCAAATACTGGATGGCAATTTTGGTGTTACAACTTCATTTATTTCTTTTCTTTTTCAGATGCTTACAATATGAGGAATCAGAGAAACAACTTGTCCTGAAGGTATATCTCTTCAGAAAGTAAACTAATGCATTTAACTTTTGCTTCACCTTTGCAAAACATAATGTTAGACATAATTGCTCCAATCAGTTGAAATTATGTAGCGGCCATCACTACTCAGACATGACAGTTTAGCAACTGTGGATTTGTTTCCATGTCTTGCCTTAAGAAAGTGGATTTTTATCCTTGCACAATTTTGGGCAGCTGAAGTGGTGCAAAGAAAGTGGTACCAGCAGATGTTTTGCTTTGTGTGGGGAGTTAATTCTCCCTGCATTTGGGGTTGTGGAGGAAGTGCTCTTTTCACATCATCATATCAGCATAGATATAACTTTTCCATACTATTTTCTTAAAATACATCTTTCTTACTGTTTTTAGCAACTTACCGGGCTGGCTAGTTGTGTTTCTCACCATTACGGACGCAGGTTGTTGAAAGATTGAAATGGCTTGCTATGTGTTTATCACCATTACAGCCATGGCTTGTTGAAAGATTGAAATGGTTTGCTTGTAAGATAGTCTGTAGTTTTGGATCTTGCTGGTTGTATTTAGACCCTGATTGGTGTCCCTCAGTCATATCTCCTCAATGTTCTCTCTAGATCTTGACATTGTACTGAACTCATACGTTTCCCCTTACGTGTTCTCGGGAGCTTTGGCATTTTAGAGGACTGATTTATAGGAGGAATAAAATACCATTCTCATGATTTTAGGAACAAAAGCTCCGATCTGAAATTGCCGAGGCAGAAAAGAAGTATCAGGAATTGTTAGTAGAGCTCAGATCATTGGACGTGAAGAAAGAGAAATAATGAACTCTCCACTTCATTGCTTGCTATACAATGGATTACTCTTGTTTCTTTGCTGACCTGTGAAGATGATGACTGGATTACTTCCCGAGACCTGCAGCTATAGTTACGGACGATCTGGCCCCTTGGACAAATGTTATCTACTGATTACCATTCACTTGGTTCCGTTGGACAGCTGTAGATGTGTAATTTAGTTTCACTAATCTTCATAGGGTCCCGTGATGATGGAAAGTGAGCATGTATTGTTTTGTAACTTTTATCTGAATGTACAGCAGCGGTTTCAATGTTAATGGCCCTCTGTTTCCAGCAACACTACATCTTGGTCTCGTGTCAATAGAGGTGGATTTTGATCAGGCACTTCGGCACTTTGCAGCGAATAGAGTTAGAATTAGACTACATTGTGCAGCATGGTAAGTGATGACTTTTTGTACTCGTGACAATCATAAATTAGTTGTGCTGTATTATCTTATGTTATTTGAGACGAGGGGTTAGTGAAGCCTTTGTTCACTACGACAGTACATTGTAACTGTGTATATATGTGATGCAGTGTATCAGCTATTTGGTTGCTGCATTAATTTCCTTTTCAAACTCCTTATTCTTTGACTCGTACTCTGCCCGTCCCTTCTAATTTCTAAGGGCCTGTTTAGTTCCTCAGTTTTGCCAAAAGTTTTGCTGTTTTATCTCATCTTTTGGCAAAATGAATCTATACACCATGGACAAAAACAGTAAAACTGGGCTTCAAAACTTTTGGCATTTGGGAGAGGCCCAAACCTGGCCAAAAACGCATGTGGGGGTGGGGGTGCGAGCCGGACGCCCACTATCCTTGCACCCACCCTGTCGCTCGGACCCTATCCATTCCCTTGTAGTCACTTCCCACTGCTCTCGCTCTCTCCCTTCGCGCGAACCCTAGCTCTGCCCACCGCTCTCGCTCTCGCCCACCGTCGCTCTCGCTCTGAGCCTCTACGGCCGACGAGATCCAGCTCCTCCACGCCCTCAGATCCTACTCCTCGGGCCCCAGATCCTGCTCTTCCTACGCCGTCGCCCTGAGCTAGGTCCTCCTCCCCGGCCTCGCTTGTAACACCCTAAAATTTGCATAATTTTAAAATAGAAGAAAATAAATTAATTATGTATTTCTAGGAGCATTTAAATTTAGGAAAATAATAATTTTGTTAAAAATAAAATTGAATATAGGCTTACCTACATGTGTATACATTCATGCTGCTGCATATTATTTTTGTATTGTGTGATTTGAAATCAGATTTCAAATTGATTTGAGTTTGCATTCAAAAGTTGTTTGAAAACTAATTTGGAAAATAGAAAAGATTTATCTCTCTCTTCTCCGTATTCAGCCCAGCTCGGCCTCCCCTCCGCGCCTGCTCTGCGTTCGTTCCGATCCTGGCCCATCTCTCGTCCCAGCAGCGCCCGCTCGCGTGGCTGTTCTCTCTCTTCGCTGCCCGGGCCGCGTAGGTCCGGTCTCGCTCGCCCAAAGACGTCGCGTCTGCCGTGCCCTCTTCCTCTCTCTCTCTCTCTCTCTCTCTCTCTCGTTGACAGTCGACCCCGCCTATCAGGGTCTTCTTCAACCCATGTCCGCGCCGGACTCCATGGAGGAGTCTGTTGCCGCCCCGCTCCTAGCCATTTGCTGTGACCCCAAGCCCCCCCGGGCCTCATAAATAGCAGCCGCACCCATCGCCTTTTGCCCCATCGACTCTAGCCCGAGCTCTAGCGCCATAGTAGCCGTTTGGATCTCGCCGAACCCGAGTTCGTCCGCCCCGCCACGTAGGTCATCGTCACGACGCCGCCGTAGACCGTGCGAACCTCCGTGGTGAGTTCCCCATCCTCTCTCTCTCTCTCTCTCTTGGACCTTTCCGGTCGGCAAACCGTGCACTGTAGTGCTTAAACCGAGTTCGCCGCGGAGTTTCTCGTCGCCGTCCATGGAGGACCGCCGCGCCGTCCCTGTTCTCGGCCGGCGACACCATATTCACTTTCTCTGTTTCAATCTTGACCGTCCGTTTAAGATCCAACGGTCCAGATTTGAAGATATCCACTTCGCTGCGAAATTTGCAAAAATGCCCTTATAACTATTTAGATCTTAACCCGCCGTCCCTGATTTCTTTCAAAAGGACCCCTGCCTTTTCTTTTAATAGTGCCCGCAGTCCCTCCATCGTTTTAAAATTAGAATTTGATTTATTTTATTTCTAAAACCAAGTTTCACTTATTTACAAGATTGCCACTACCTTCTATAGGCCATAAAATCTCCGTTTTAACTCCGACTTGGTCCGTTCAACTTGCGTTAGGTTCGTAATTCCATAATCTACATGTTCATACTACTGTTAAGTATGTTTTCAACTTTTAAAATTCAAAGGTAGATTTAATCTATTATTTTACTAAAGGAAATCTTGTTTAATTCATTACTTCTTCGTTTTAGTTTCGATTTTTGTGATCTTCGCGTCTGTGTGTTCGTAGTGAGACGTAGATCCATTTTACAAACTTTTTATCTTAATTTTATGCTGATTGGTGTACTGTTCTAATCTATAGCTTTTTCTTGCTATGCATGATTGTTTCTGGATGCTTGTCGGTTGCTGTGATTATCGAGTATAGACGGTGAGCAATTCATGGGAGACCAAGAGTATTACTTTGACGAGCAGGATCAGTAGAAGCATTTTGTTCAAGGCAAGTATAGCATGGTATTATCCTTGTTTCCTATTCACCTTAATACATTTAATTCATGTTGCATGTGTCATCTTGATAGGGATTCCCTAGAATTGAACTTATACCTTGTCTCCTATGGGATTTGCATTGGGTAGCTTTGCTGGTGCTCAATTAAACTATGATTTTGTGAATTGACTAATGGTATATGCAATAAACATTAAAATATGACTTTTTAGCCACATGGAACCAGGGGGCTAGAGCATTGGGTTGTTTTTATGGTGCTCTATATTTCTCTCCCTAAAGACTTATCTATAAGTGATTATTTAAGACTTACAGTACAGCTGTGAGGGCTATATGGCTCTGGCTTTAGCTCAGTATGAGGACCTTTTCTAACTTGAGTGGTTACCTTCATTGGCGTAAGAATGGCTTGATAAATCGAGTATAGTGCGACCTCTGTCCCCATGAGTATAGGCAGCGCGTTAATGTGCCATCGGGAAGGGGGGCTCTACATCTGTTTGCCTAGTGAATCTAATGGTCCTAACTTGTTAGACGAACCTTTGAAAGGCTTCGTAGTGAACCCTGCCGACCTTCCTTGGTAGTGGGTTAAGAGGCTCGCGACCTTTGGTGAAAAGGTAAATCACGACTCACAGTGAAAGTGTACAACCTCTACAGAGTGTAAAACTGGTATATTAGCCGTGCTCACGGTCACGAGTGGCCTTAGAACATTTACGGAATAGATGGTCACTATGAATTATCTGTTTATGCTATTCATTATTCATATTTACATTGGTCATGTGTTTTACCTTGGGATTGAAACAATTTGTTGCTACTCTTATACTAAAGTTGTGACAACTAAAAGCGGAATGCTGTTAAACCTGTGTCAAGCCTTTTGAGCCTCATGAACCCCATGTTACACTTGTTAAGTACGACATGTACTTACGCTTGTTTATTTTAATTATTTGAATAAAAATCCTAGATGGGTAATAGATGGCTATGGTAATGACAACTTTCCTGAGGATTACAAGACTTGTGGTCAACCAGTTGACGTCCCTGTGATATGGAGCTTCCACGAGAGATCTTTTCTTTATACTTCCGCTACCTTTATGTGAAGACTCTGTCTTGTTATTCGTGATATAATAAACACTTGTGATAATACTATTTATAATTTGTCGGCTTATGTGTGTGACTGATCTCTGGGCGCACATAAGATTATGCATCACATTTTATCCTTAAAATTGGGTGTGACATATTAGTATCAGAGCTTGCATAAGCTGTGTCTGCACTGCCATAAGTTGCTCAATAGTCGGTGGTGGTGGCGGTGGTGGATGTGGGGGAACACCTCCACGACCTCGACCTCTTTCTCTTCCAGACATCTAACATCCAACAGAAATATTCAAATATTCGTATTGTGTGGTTTGAAATTAGATTTCAAATTGATTTGAATTTGCATTCAAAAGTTGTTTGGAAACTAATTTAGAAAATAGAAAAGGATTTTATCTCTCTCTTCTCCGTATTCAGCCCAGCTCGGCCTCCCTCCCGCGCCTCGTGGTCCGTTCCAGTCCCGTGGCCCAGCTTCGTCCGCGCGCCGCTTCGCCCGCGTGGCCGGTTCTCCTCTTCGCCGCGGCCCAACGCGTTGACTCGGTCTCGGTCGGCCCAGCACGCCGCTGTTGCGCCCTCTTTCCTCTCTCTCTCGCTGACAGCCGACCCCACTGTCAGGATCTTCTTCAACCCATGTCCGTGCAGGACTCCATGGAGGAGTCCGTTGCCACCCCGCTCCTAGCCGTTTGCCGTGACCCCAAAGCCCCCGTGCCTCGTAAATAGCAGCCGCACCTAGCGCCTTTTCCCCCCAATGACTCTAGCCTCGAGCTCTAGCGCCATAGCCGCCGTTTGGATCTCGCCGAACCCGAGTTCATCTGCCCCGCCCCGTAGGTCGTCGTCACTGCACCACCGTAGATCATGCGAACCTCCGTGGTGAGTTCCCCATCCTCTCCTCTCTCTCCTGGATCTTTTCGTTCGGCAAACCGTACACTGTAGTGCTTAAACCGAGTTCACCGCGGAGGTTCTCATTGCCGTCCATGGAGGACTGCCGCGTTGTCCCTGTTCCCGACGGCGACACCCTATTCACTTTCTCTGTTTCAATCATGACCGTCTGTTTAAGATTCAACGGTCCAGATTAGAAGATACCCCTTTCACTGCAAAATTTGCAAAAAGGCCCTTATAACTATTTAGATCTCAACCCGCCGTCCCTGGTTTCTTTCAAAAGGACCCCTACCTTTTCTTTTAATAGTGCCTGCAGTCCCTCCATCATTTTAAAATCAGAATTTGATTTATTTTATTTCTAAAATCAAGCTCCACTTATTTACAAGATTGTGCCATTACCTTCTATAGGCCATAAAATCTTCGTTTTAATTCGATTTGGTTCGTTCAACTTGCGTTAGGTTCATAATTCCATAATCTACATGTTTGTACTACTGTTAAGTATATTTTGAACTTTTAAAATTCGAAGTTAGATTTAATCTATTATTTTACTAAAGGAAATCTTGTTTAATTCATAACTTCTTCGTTTTAGCTCCGATTTTTGTGATCTTCGCGTCTGTGTGTTCGTAGTGAGACATAGATTCATTTTACAAACTTTTCATCTAGATTTTATGTTGATTGATGTACTGTTCTAATCTATAGCTTTTGTTTGCTATACATGATTGTTTCTAAATGCTTGTCGGTTGCTGTGATTATCGAGTATAGACGGTGAGCAATTCGTGGGAGACCAAGAGTATTACTTTGATGAGTAGGATCAGCAGGTGCATTTTGTTCAAGGCAAGTATAATATGGGATTATCCTTGTTTTTATTCACCTTAATATATTTAATTCATGTTGCATGTGTCACCTTGATAGGGATTCCCTAGAATTGAACTTATACCTTCTCCTATGGGATTTGCATTGGGTAGCTTTGCTAG